TATGTTTAAAATACTTTACGTGTGTTGAAATATCTACTCAACTTGACGAGATTCTTTCCCGAATTTGCCAATTTCTAAACGTTGCAAAACCAGTCGCACTTAAGTATAAATCCCGGCCTATAAATTAAAGTCGTACTAATGCGTAATTGAAACCGTCCTGTTAAAATGAAAAGTCCGAGTCATGTCAGATTAAGTTTCAGGAAGTTAAGCTTCATGACAGACAAGTCGTTACAACTTGTTTACAACTTGTACAAATGGGTTTATCTAAGCTGTCTTCTACCGTACGAGTCGTGTCTGACTTTTGAATCAACGATACAAAAGTAAATAATCGAAATTTCTCTTTTTCATTTCAAAGAAATTAAACAGAAAAGAGAAAACGTTATTTTGTTATTGAATTCGTTACAGGGAAACATAAATTTAAAAAAAAACCATGTGTTTTTAAAAAAATATGAACCTTAATTGATTAAGATAAGAGATATTTATATACTTTTAATCAATAATGAAGAATGTTACAGGAAACCTTGACCTATATCAGAATATTATTCTACATGCTTCATTTTCATACGATGAAATATATTTAATAGTAATAACAGTAAAATTTGATCCCAGGAAATTTATGCTTGGGAGGAGCTATTAAGGACTGTAAGAAATTCCCGTAATTTCGATAATATCGAATCATAAAAGATCCATGAGGAAGTATCCCGGCTATCTAGATTCATAAGAGCGTCTCTCATGCCCCCTTCCTATTTTCGTATGGGGTGGCACGCATACAGAACGGGTAAAAATGTAGGTGAAGGGAAATCTAGGAAACTGTTATTAAACCGATTACACCCTTGAAATGAGATCCAGGTCGATGTTCTACGGTAAAACGATTTGGTACTTCGATCATTGCTGGATGTAACAAGACATAAATTAAGTAACTATTTTCAATAGCCGATCTTTGAAGAAAGAAAAACTGTAGAGGATGATAATTTTCATCTTGCTGTTTTTGGGTACAAATTCGGGCCCTTTGGATTAATTTGAAGCAAATATTTATAAACTGGTTTGACCTTTCGTCCGAGACACGATAAAACAATATAGATGCGGATTGACAAAACGATCAAGTCCTTTGCAAGCTATGAAAGGAATTATGAGAATTAAGTAGGATCGTTAACTATTTCTAAAAAAAATTAATTGCTAACTACTCCGTAAAATTGTTTAATATCCACACATTTACGTGATAGGTTCCGATCTCGTCTGGGCCACAAATTTTTTCACTCGAGTAAATATTTCTTACTAAGTACGAAATAGTTAAATTTGAAGTTACCATCACAAGAATACATTTTTAAGTCTGGATTCAAATAAACTTCAGAGGATGTTTAAAGTAAAAGGAAAACATTAAAAAATGATCGTTAACTATTTCTAAAAAAAATTTATTTGCTAACTACTCCGTAAAATTGTTTAATAACCACACATTTACGTGATAGGTTCCGATCTCGTCCGGGCCACAAATTTTTGCACACGAGTAAATATTTCTTACTAAGTACGAAATAGGTAAATTTGAAGTTACCATCACAAGAATACATTTTTACGTCTGGATTCAAATCAACTTCAGAAGTTGTTTAAATTAAAAGGAAAACATTAAAAAATGATCGTTAACTATTTCTAAAAAAAAAATTAATTGCTAACTACTTTCGTAAAATTGTTTAATATCCACACATTTACGTGATACGTTCCGATCTCGTCTGGGCCACAAATTTTTTCACTCGAGTAAATATTTCTTACTAAGTACTAAATAGATAAATTTGAAGTTACCAACACAATAATATATTTTTAAGTCTGGATTCAAATAAACTTCAAAGGTTGTTTAAATTAAAAGGAAAACATTAAAAAAATGATCGTTAACTATTTCTAAAAAAAATTAATTGCTAACTACTCCGTAATTAATTTTTTTGTGTGTTTAATATCCACACATTTACGTGATACGTTCCAATCTCGTCTGGGCCACAAATTTTTTCACTCGAGTAAATATTTCTTACTAAGTACAAAATAGGTAAATTTGAAGTTTTTTCAAATAGACTTCAAAAGTTGTTTAAATTAAAAGGAAAACATTAAAAAACGAACTATCGGTGTCTGTAAAGCTGGGAGGAATGAGAAAAGAAAATGAATAAATTCTCTAAGTTATTTAGAACACACTAAACTGGCTAAAAAAAATTCAAAATTAGATGAAGAATGACAAACAAAAATGTTAGAACTTTGTAACACGTTGAGGAAAGTTGGGTATCGTAGTCGAAAAAAACGTACTAATGCTCACAAAGAATCATAGAAGATTCAAGACCTGTGTGATTTCCAAAAATCGTCTAATATATTGACTTTTGATCAATTAAAAATTAGTCAAAAATTTTGATCTAAATTTGGGTATAAAAAATCAGAACCATTTCCTAGTTGACCAACCCTGTTCCGATTTTTGGAGGAAGCAGGGTTGTTTCACTGTTAATACAGATAGTTTTGTGTCCCTTGTTGAAGTGAACATATTTATTGGCGAAAAGGCCGACGGCGGGATATTGAATACCACCCTCAATTAGGTTAGTTATGTAAAGGTTAATTATCAAAGGATAATAGAAGAATAGTACTCCAGTGCTGAGTGAATGGTATGTAAATAAGAAAGAAGGTATTTACGAGTAAATGAGTGAATGGTCTAGGTGGGTGTAGGAACTGATTGCGTTGGGAGCTGAATTGATCTAGCTGTTGGTAATCCCTGGACGGATTAGGCTGAAGCCAGACCCCGTACTACCCGAGGTAGGTAAATCTATTGTAAATTACAAAAGTCGGTGGACTGCGAGAAATAATAGGCTCAACTCTGTACACGTGTATGTAATGCATGTACAGATTTAAGCTTATTTAAATCAGTAATCAGTATTTCCTAGTACTTATTGACTACAGATATTAGGCAGTATAGTAAGAAAATCCTTGACAATAAAAATTCGAATAACAGTACAAAATTGGTTTAAAAATAACCGCTAGGTTTTTAATTGAAAATATGAAAAATCAAGTAATGCTGAGCTGTCAAATATATNATATTTAATTATTTACTAGTAATATACTAAATATTAGTATTGAATAAAAAGACAATCTTGGTAACATACCACAAATTAATTAAATTTTATAATTATTAAGTTAAATACAAATATTAATATTTGATAATTGATATATTAGAATTGAATAACAAGACCATCTTCGTATGGGTTGGTTATTTATTTTCAAAATTTTAAGTCCCATAAAGCGGGCATATTGACTATTTTAATTAATCGTTTGGTGATGCTTTATTAATAGCTACTGCTTGAATATTTAATTTTGACGGTTGACGCAATTTATTTTATATTGGTATCTGCGATTTTAATATAATTAAAGTGTAATTTATAGTTATTTAGTTATTTATCAGATCAGACGTCGCAGAAAATAAGCACTGGAAACAACAAAAATCATAAATGATTGATGAATAAATAAGGAAATTTGCACATCCATATCATTTTAAGTTAAAAAGTACTAATACAAAAAACAATACTAATTTACTGAGAATATTCTAAAAACATTCACAGAAATCATAACGAGTACACAAATAAATTTAAAGGGTTACTCGGTCAAAAAGTGAATTTTTTAAAATTAAATTAAAACTGTTTTTGCACAAAATGAAACTGATCTCATGACATTCAAATATATCCGGCCCGGAGGACTAAATTGGTTTTGTTTTATTATAAATAGCACTGTACCTTCATATCCGATTCAGATCATAAAGTCTGAATCCCTTTAAGATCAGGTGGATTATCAAACAAATGCATATCCGACCCGGAGGACCAAATTTAAAACATACCGAGAAATGATTTTAATTTTTTGTTTGACAGTAGGGAACCAAGAAAGTTGGAAAATTCTCCATTTATTCTGTGTCAAAAATTTGTGTAATTTTTTTTTTGTTGCGTAAATTGAACAACGGAAAAAATTCGAACTCGATCAGAAAATCGCTTCTGCTAAAAAGTTGTATTTTTTCCTATTTTGGTACACTTTTTCCAAAACACTTCATTAAATTGATATGATTCATTTTTATTTTTGTAGAACCGTGATAGGCAAACTATCTAAGCGAAGAATTTTATCAAAAACCACCCAGGAGCAGGAAATTAAATTTAATGTATAACAAAAAAGGTGTAAAATTTGTTCCAATTTTAGGTTGTTGCCAAAAATTAACGATTCATTATTTTCAAAAATCTCCAGCTTAAAAATTCGTAATATAATAAGAAAAATAAAACCAAAAAAGTTGTGATGGGTTAAAGTGATCCTGAGAAAATGGTACCTAAAAATGTCCACTTTTTGGACTTTCTTTGAACTGACCTAAAGAATTTGTTGAAATAAGGTAGAATTTTGGATTTTCTTTTCTAATAATAAGAGAAGGAAAAAATAGAACAAAAAGGAAAAAATAGAACTAGAAACTATAAAAATAGAAATAAAAGCATATCCGCGTTTTTAACCCTGAAAGATGTAATATAACAAGTTCTTGATTTACTAAGCAAATTTTTAGCATTGTTAGCAATTTATTAATTATTGACTTCTCGAGGTGTTGGCTTAACACAGCAAATATACATTCAATTCACCGAGAAAATAATATGTATAGATGTTTATTAACGAACGTATTCTATACACTTGTAGATCTTCATAAAATTTATTGTTTTTGTGTGAAATAAAATAAATAAAAACTAAACTCATATAATCTGACAGAAAACAAGAATCATATAATCAGTTTAATTATAAAAAATAATTTGCCTAATAAGTGGAAATGTATAAAAAAAAGATGTCCAGGTCTAATTCAATTTCTCGACTAGACACTGGGTAAAGAAAAATATTCAAAAAATTATCTACTATTTTTCTATGGATTGATTGACATATAAAAGCGCTTGCTTTTAGGATCGGTAGCGCCTCCACGCACACACGCACACTCACACGCACGCACCAACATTGTTTCGTTTATGTACCTGTATCCTCATGATGTTAGCTGGAATGCCACTTAGACACTATGACGGTGACGGGAAGGAAGGAAAATGCGTCTGCCCCTCCAGAGATCCCCCGCCGGGATAGCCGGCGCCCCTTCTACACCTCGTCTGTTGGTCCAATATCGGATTAAGCCGTCGTGAAACTTGTCGGAATCCGCCCGATTAACTCTAGGACCGAGATGATACCAATTTGTCAAAATTGTACCTTGTGCCGAAATTGCCAAGGCGGAATGTGCTGATCCTTTTAAGCCCGGGGGTAGTTGATTTCTTGCGCTGAAATTATCCACATTTCAAAACGGAATTTGTAACCTAATTTTTCATATTTGACTGTTTTAGAACTAAAATGTTATATATCTCTCACCCTAACTAAAAAATTATTATTGTTTATATAATAAGAAAGATTGATGATGATAGTCAAATGAAGACTGTGGTAAAGTGATTAAAATGTAAAAAAAGATTTGGCAAATGTGTGGTGATTAGTATACAAGATCGAAACGTTGGCACGATAAAGAAAATGTTTTTTCTGAAACCTACATCACACCAGACTGCATCTCACGATATCTGAATGATTTGGCAAATGTTATGGAGAAAGATATAGATTGATATAAAAAACGTCTTATTCTCTTACCTTCAATAATACACATATTTATTTAGAAATCGTGAGATGCGGTCTGATGTGATGTAGGTTTTATAAAAACATTTTCTTTATCGTGCCAACGTTTCGATCTTTATTGAGATCATCTTCAGGGCTCAAAGTGTTTGTTTTCTGCGTAATTATTCGGAAATAGTGAGATGCGGTCTGGTGTGATGTAGGTTTCATAAAAACATTTTCTTTATCGTGCCAACGTTTCGATCTTTATTGAGATCATCTTCAAGGCTCAAAGTGTTTCTTTTCTGTGTAATTGTACCATTCTTGCGTGCCGTGTCGAGTGTGCCCACTCTGCTGTGGAAAAAAAAATCTAAGAAAAATCCTACAGCACTCGCTAACCACCATCTTGAACGCCAACACAATTTCGACTTGAAAAATCCAAAAGTATTACACACAGAACAAAACAAACATAAACGTAATTTCTTATCACAGCATCAATTACAGAACAGATACATGTAAACTCAGTCGCAGCTACGCCAATATCATTAATCAAATTCAATACGGAAAACATATCATCACATTACATTCCACAAATCAAATATTTTTCACATAGTTTAATTTTCCCGATTTTCAATTTGTCCAAACCCTCCAACTGCACCACGGCTCAAACTTGCGGCATAGTAAGCAGATGCAGCGACATCTGAGTCAAACAGCTTTCTTTTCGTCGCTGGGTAGTTGGATTTACTTTTAAAAACTATTTCTTTGATATTTTCAAGAGCTCGCATACCTTTATTAAGTGCGTTATTCCTTGCCAAATTGAATTTACCCATACATCTGAGAGGTATGCCCAAGTAAGTGAACGAATTTACATACTGCAAAGGCTGCAACTCAAAATATAAAGTTCTTAACTTCTTGCAGATGGGGGACCTTCGGAATACTAGAACTTTATTCTTATTAACATCTACAGACAGTTTATTAGTGCAGCAGTAATTAGAAAAAACGTTAAGCATCCTCTGAGACTCCCTATAGCTGTCAGCCAGAAGTACTACGTCATCTGCAAAGAGCAGGCATACAAGGTGAGCAATTTCGTCCACTCTAACACCCACCATATTCCGATTTTCAAAGAAACGGACAAAATCATATATAAATAGAGAGAAAAGTAAGGGCGACAGGGATTCCCCCTGAAGTACCCCCTTCGTTACAGCAATGCTATACTCTAATAAGTCGTCATTCAGCTTAAGGTTAAAGCCTGCAGAGTTATAAACATTTTTAAGGATAATCTTGCACACCAATTCCCAGCTAAAATATTATATATCTTTTCCCCCTAACTAAATTTTAAATGACATAAAAAAATTTAATACTGTTTATATAATAAGAAAGATTGATGATGATAGTCAAATAAAGACTGTGGTAAAGTGGTTAAAATGGAAAAAAAGATTTGGCTGTTAAAGAGAAATATATAGATAAATATAAAAAACGTCTTATTCTCTTTCCTTCTGAATAATAAACATATTCAGATATGCAGGGAGAAAGAAAGATAGTGAGAGAGAGCGAGAGAGAGATTCATTAAACGCTTTATTTAACAACTCAAAAATAACATGAAGCGAAAGGAAGCACAATATTACAGAAATATTTTCTTAGAATTTTTAACTTTTCGTTGCTTATTGAAAATTGTGTACAAACGGGCCGGTGTATCCACGGTGTATTTGGATGACGAGTGCGTCGAATGGACAATGGCGAGGCCGCGTGCTTTGCCGTCGTACGACCTTTCGGACCTCGGTCACAGTCCATCAATCCCATCAATAACAAGCCCCTCTCTCCATTTTATCACCACCAATAAACGGACGTTTTCACGCAAAACATTAGTCACGCGACAGACGGTGATAGTTTCCTCAATATTTCTAATGGACTTTCTCTAAGGAACTTGAACTGGCTATCGGTAGACGACATCAATTGAAAAAAAGAACGTTAATATAATATTTAATGTTTTCATGATTCATTTTGATAATTGGTATATAAAATCGCAATTGGTCTAATTGAAAAGTAAGGTGCACTTTGTTTTTTAAACTTTCTGATTGATCAGGAGGTCAACAGTTTGTTTGACAACATTTCAGTCAACTAGGGCTTGTTTTATTGCTTTATCTTTATTTTGGCCACTTAAGCTTTAAAAGCGTATATCGGACGTTAACATCACCGGTGTTATTGAAAAGTGCAGTGTGCCTTTCGTCCCTGGTCATTTTCAATAAAGGTTTTCGAAAAATTTGTACATACCTGTTTCGAAACCGCGCTCCGTCCGATAAGAACGACGCCTCACCGTTCGGATCCATCCCACGGAAATTAAGTAACCCGGGTACTAAACACTTCCCAGTTGTGCAAGGTGTCATAAAAAACCAGTTTTTATTCTATCCTTTACGCACTTTATAAAAAACGTCTTTTTATTGCTGCCACATTGATAATAGTGAATCCGCCCGGTAATTTGTTCCATCGTCGGAGGTAAGCTCTAGATGTCACTCCCTACTATACAAATCATATAAAGCATACATATATTTGATTGTATGAATATGCATAAACAGAAAGACATACATTGAGAAAAAGACAGAAAGGAGAGTAGATAGATATACAATAAGAATCAGAAACATTATACTTATAGTTAAACTTAGACTTAGAGAAAGAGAGAGAGAGAGAGAGAGAGAGAGAGAGAGAGAGAGAGAGAGAGAGAGAGACGGAAAGTGAAAGAATGAGCGATCATGAAAAATAAATAGATTGTTAAGTACTTCGTTCTTGGGCAAGATTGGTTGGTTTTTTCTTTTTGATGTCTCCCACATCTCCTTTCATGTATTTTGTTTTACCTTCAGTACTGGTAGAATTCTTATCACCAAATTTTTCCTTCCTAGAATCCTTTGCTGTCTCCTTTGCAAATTGGTCTAAACTACTCAAAAATGAATAGGGATATTGTCCATTTTGTAATATTTACTTTTCTAGCATTTTTATCTTATTTTTATTATAAATTGCATTAAAATCTATTAGAAATCGTTATATTTTTTATTTAACGAAAATAAAAAATAACATATTAGAAGCGTTTAATTTAATTTTGTTCATTGGGCACAGAAATCTTTTGGACAATTTATACAGTGTATAATATCCTCTGTTAGCTAAACCCTCTGTGCACATGTTAGAAATACTGTTAATAAGGTTGACACTAATTTCATAAGGAATTTCACTTCATAGATGTTGCAACGCTCCACAGTTGTTCCAGGTCAACTGGCTGCGGATGATGATCGAAAAGTCTTTTATGCAACGCATCCCGCATGGGATTGAGGTCTGGTGACAATGGGGGGAAGGGGCAGACCAGGTTTTCTAAACATTGATGAACAACTCTACCTCTATTAGATCTGGAATTGACATCTGGAAAACGAATATCCCTGGTTTGAGGGATATATTCCTCAAAAATTTCTTGGACATAACGAACTACGGTGAGGTTGCCTTCAACAATATGTAGTCAAGTTCGTCCTCCAGTCATCCCAGACAAGATCATTACATCGCCTCCTCCAAACTGCACTGGGAGCACGAACTGGGGCATTGTACGCATCCCCTGTTCTCGGTAGACTCTTCGGCGGATGCTTTCACTATAGAGACAGAAACGCGACTCATCAGTGAAAATAACAGCATTTCAATTGGCGTTCTCTTAGAGGCTGCACCAGATTCTGCCCACTTAATGTGGAACTACGACGACGGGTGGTACAATGCGGTTAAGGCTCGGGGTCCAAGAAAGGCGTACCCCTTCTCAATCCAGGCTTCTTCATTCTTCCCTGCGACCTCCCTCAACCCTTGGTTACAAGAGGGTGTCCGAGCGCAAAATAATGGTGTAGCCCTGAGGGCGTGGCAACCTCTCTAAAGCACAAGCTGTACGCTGTCGGCCTCGGGCGAGTGCTTTATCAGAGGCACACGTGGGTTAGGGTTCCAGATCCGGTCTGCATAGACGGGGGAGGGTGCATAACCATCTGTACTGCGGGGTAACAGAAATGTTCCAAGGTTCAGCCCCCGTTACATTGGGAATGGACTCGTAGTTGGCCCTAGTGACACCCCTGGCGGGTACCTGGAGAAGAGGCGAGACCTTCACACGAAACTTGCATATGACCATCGTTATTCACACGGCCTCACGGGAGTTTTTATGGTGAATTCATAATGTCTGTTGGGAAGAAACAATGATGTATTCAACGACTAATAAATAAAAGACATTATCCAATAATAGGTTATTAAAGAAAACAGATTGTGTCTTTTGTCGAACCATTTCAGCTATTGTTCATAACTTTAACTCAACAATTAATACAAACAAAAGGAAGTTTCGTTTGAAATAATGTTTTATTGTCAATAGTATTAATAAAAGAATAGGATTGAACTAAAAGGTTAGCTCTATACGAAATAAATTTTGTAACGTTTTATGCGAGAGATTCTAATTAGCATGGTAAAACATCAATTAGCGAAGGTGAAGACTTGATTCCGTTCCCAGCCAGTTAGTATTCCACCCGTTCTTTTGTTTTTAACCAGATTGTCGGAACAATAAGCTTTTTTTTGTGTAAACAAGGATGATATATCGGGAGGGGTAATGAAATGTGTGGTATGCTGGGTTGGGTCGGTTACCTAAGACATTCATCGAAACCACAACAAGAAGAAAGTTGACTTTCGCCCTCCCGACCTTCTGAGGTCGCACTTCCCGCTGTCTCCCTTCAAACATCCTCCAATTCTTTCCAAAGAGGGGCCACGTTAAATAATTTTGCCACGGATTTGGTGGTTAGGCAAGTCGCCAGAATGGTTTAGTTGAATAGCGTCTAAAGATGGAGAAAATCTCTCGGCCGGCTGTTTCGGATTCATTCTTAGCAAATTTAGCTTACTTCGAGCAACTGACTCGCAAAATATTTAAAATTGTTACAGAACAAGTTGTACACCGGGAAATAATTTGATCTATTCCATTTTGAAGGAGCCACATCAAACGCTCACAGAGCACCAGCAGGTGTACTCCGGTGATCAATGCTTGGGCCCACTTTCTTTCTTAATTATCCGAAAAAAATGTAGAGTTTGTGGAACATAAAACATTGTAGCGTACTTCTGAAATTATGAAAAAGCTGAACGATGCTTTGGCCATTCTTTCTACTGAAAGACCTCTGTCAAGACGGTGTCGGGAATTAATGTGGGAATGTAGTATCCTGGTCAGTACTTTAGGTTTTTAGCTTGAAAGTAAATTAACTTTTACAACTCGTAATAAGTTATTATTTTATAACAGTAAAAAGGCCGTGAAAATTTTATTTTTAGTGAAGGGGAAAAATTATTATTATAGGAATTTGAAATTTATCCCGTACTCACTTACGAGTGTATGTATAGTAATTGTAAAAAACTGCAAGTTGTACAAAACAACTATCAGCGACTTTGTGCAAGCTCTCCATTACATCAACTGTTCATTTATCTAATTTTCCTTATGAGGATATAGATGTAGATGTAGTCGGGGTGTAATGTCCTTTATAGAGCTATTGTATCCCTCGTTCTGAGCCTATAACCTGTAAGTCCTATTTCATCTAGGAATTTGATCACCTTGTCCCAAAGCATCCCCTGATGCGGGCAAGTGTAGCACCACAGTTTGTTAATAGGTGTGTTGTTGTCTCCTCTGCTTCTTTGCAGAATCTGCGTGTGCCGTCTTGGGTTATACCAATCTTCTTTAAATAGTTTAGTTTGGAGTGTCCTGTTAAGAATCTTATTAGGAGTCGCAGTTTTTCCTGCTTCCTTTGATACTATCTATTTCTTCTTTTATTGAAGATTAAAAAGGGATTATAAGGGCATGGAAGTCAAAAAGAAGGATATTAGTATAAATAAAAACTTATCAAATGCTTTAGATAGTGATGAAAGAATACTAAGAAGCGGTACTCACTAGCATGGGTGGGCTCAATTTCTGGAACTATTAGAACTAAATTTTTTAACGAGGGTTCGCAACGGCAGAGATCACATCAACCCTTGGAGTGCCGGTGTTAAAAAAAAATTGTAGGTATGTTTGGTTCGAATGAGCGTCATGTCAATGCCTAAACCGTTACAGGCATCGACACCCATATAATAGAACTATTACTGTTGGAACTAGTAGATATTCAATTACAGGGATAGAGATAAGAGAGGCGGCCTACTGCACTTCGACCTGAATAGATCTATTGTGCTCCTCTGTTATTTATAACCCACTGCCCAGCTTCAAGCTATTAACCAGCCTCCACAGCTTTGCAAGCAGTTCCTTGATGTAGGATCTTGCTTGTGGTTTTTCTTGTCCTAGTTGCAAGAACCTGCACAGAAACATAAAATGTGTTTTGCAGTCTCCTCCTCTTCCTGGCAGTATCTTCACAGTGTACTCTTATCCGGTGCATAGTATGCTTTGCACGTAGGTGGAGGCTGAGCTCGATAGGAGGCTTTACTGTAGGCGGTACACTAGAGGGTGGTTAAAAATTCCACTTTAAACGAAACCGCGGTCGGAGCGGATCCGGAAGTTTCGACGCTAGAGAAGCACCAATACTCTGGGAGATAGAATCGCCTTCTCTATCTAGGGAGTGCGCGGGAGACCGAGCTGATGCATTTCGGCTTAGCCCTTTGCCCGTGGCATACGGTCTGATGCTCAATGCAGGCCACTTGAAATGGACAAGCGGGGAGCGAGGTTGTCTTGGCCTTTCGGGGCTGAGCTGCTTCTACACCAATGCTGCGGCAGTAACACCATCCTGTCGTATGCGGAGGTGCGTCAGCTCTCGTCTTGAGAATCAAAACGTCGGATAAGACCGAATAGGCTAGGTGCGGACGTTAAATATCCTCATTATCCTTTTTAGGACGACCGAGTATACGGGAAGCAATGCCCCGTCAGGAGTCCAACCAGAATCCTGGTTCGGTTGCGGTTGCCTTCCAGTAATTCTTTTGTAAGTTTTGCGGTCCTTCAATAAATCCCTTCGCGTGCCTCATACCTGTGGTCTTGTTCCACCAGTTTTTGGACTCATTAAGGATTTTAAGATGTATCCTCTTTTATGGCAGGCTGTAGGCCGCAGTAGGGTTCTGGACCCATAGAGCCCATGCTGGCTCCATTTTTTGGCATGTCAACGTTTTCGTTGCCTCTATGGCCCGAATGTCCAGGAACCCATACCAGGGTCAGGTCATTAGTATCGCTAACTTCCGTCAGGGCCTCCATGCATTTCCAAACACTCTTTGCCTTCGCCTCGCATGAGGCTCCGACCCTGAGAGCTGCCTGGCTGTCAGAGAAAATGGCTATCTTCCGGGAATATATGCCTAGCCTTTTTATTTCTCTGGCACATTGTTCAATCGCTATGATTTCAGACTGAAAAACTGTAGCATATTTACCTAGGTTTACCGTCAGTTCGGTCTTGGGGTTCATCCCAAAGACCCCCAGCTCCCGTACCGTTGTTGGTTTTGGAACCCTCTATTCAACTACAACAACTACAACAATCGGAAACAACACACAAAACACAGCTTTTCCACCTGAGAAGAATACTGTAACCCCGTAAATTTATTCAGATCAGATCACATTTTACGAGAAAAATAGATTTTAATTAATTTTCCTTTTAAATCAAATTGCCAGAATTCAAGATTTAAAATTGTACTGAGTGATTTCATCTCAAAAACGTAGTTTCTATTTAGACATTTTTCAAAAGTGAAATTTTGCTAATAATCAGGATGAAAAACTAAGAAAAAAATAGTCATATATAAAATAGGTTATTCCCCATGAAAAATAGATTTCCAGATTATCAAGATTTATTGGAGAAATTCAACTGAAACAATTTTTAAACCGATATAAACAATTCAAATATTATTTCTACCGAAGTATTGTTCAATGTTTGTTTTAGTCAGGATACGAGGACTTCAAAAAATAAGTTTTCACTTTGAAGGTCCAATCAAGTAGACAGACGTGCCTGCAGCTGTCTCGATGCATTTCTCCTATTTACCTCGCGGCAAATCACATCACCCACAAATCATAGAAAAATAGACAGAAATGCATTTAATTTCTTGCAGTTGTAAACTTTTTGGACGAATACTGAACAAATTTGAACAGCGATTATCACAAAATTTACGAAGCTTTTGTTGTTGTTGAATTTATTTTTAGATGTTTAAATATTTGTAAAATTGACGAGAAATTGTGTTTAAGACTAAATGTTTATTTATGTGTTTGCCACGATTCCTGCGGAAACGGGATGGATATTTTTCGATTCGTTGTTTCATCACAAACTTCAACTCTTATAAATTGCTCACCACCCCCGACTGATTGATTGCATTCATCGAAACAGTTTCAACACTCGTTCCCGATACGATTTCCATATAAAACCGTTTAGGATTTTGCCCGTTTTGCAATAACAGTCGGCGCGGGCAGACGGAGAAGGGAAATCGGTAGATCACCCGAGTGCCGGAGGGTTGCATGGAGATTTCAGCTGTACCTGGGGTCATACTTTATGTTCGCATTTTAGAAGCCGGCTCTTGGGCTAATGATGGGAATATTTTCGCCCCACATAGATCTTTTCAGGAGCGATTTTCCATTATGCAACGCTTCACAGCTTTTTCAATCGCTAGGTGCCGAAACCAGAACATGAGAACCAAATATGACAAAATAATATAGGTTTGTTTTTCTCTATAATAACTATGTTTTTTGGTCAATTACCTAATTACACATTTACGCTAACCACTCGGCTACCGCCATCTTCAAAAGATAGGTTAAATAAATAAATTACAGGGTGTCCATTTAGATGGCCCGGCTGAATTTCTCTTAAACCAATGACAATGGCAATAAAAAAATATACGTTTTTAATATTTTTTTTTCTAGTTGCAACCTTTTGTGGAGAAAAATTATGCAGGATACCTCAGGCGCAGTACTACACTGACAGGGAAAAAATTCCGCCCACTTGTAATATAACTTGATTGGTATATATTTTTATATATTAATCAAAGTTTCATGTTTTTTAACTTTTAATAGTTGTCTTTGTCTACAAAAGTAAAAAAAAAGTACATATAAAATTTGTTTTAATTTTTGTTTTAGATTTTTAATTAACAGCGAATTTCCACCTCTTGTCTTAGTTATATCTCGAAGATGCCTCGGCATACTTTCTACCAGTCTGGAAATGTATCTTTGCTGGAGGTTAGCCCATTCTTCACGAAGAGTCCTTTCAAAATGGTGGAGTGTATGAGGAAGTGATGGACCTGCTCTTTTTCGCCTTTTGAGGTTATCCCATAAATGCCTGGAGAACGGGCTGGCCAGGCTAAGACCCTCATGTTGCTGGTGAAGAACGTAGTTTTGTACTATGCAAGCGACATGTAAATGGGCATTATCATGCATTAGAATAGGCCTGTCGTTGATTTCATCGAGGTTAGGCAACGCATGATGTTCCAAAATTTCATCCACATAGCAAGTGGCCGTCAAAGACCCTCCACGAACAACAACCAACTCTGTGCGACTTCCATTGAAATTTCTGCCCACACCATACTGAGCTACGTTGAAAAATTACAGGTTTCTACCATTCATGTCGCCTTATACACACTCTTTCACGACTATCTGGAGATCGTAGAGCAAATTCTTCTTGAGCCGAGGGGAACCTTGAAACTCTGTGTGTTCTGGTCGATTCTGGTCCTCTTACGGGGTGAAAAGCGATCAGTCCATGCTGATTTAATCGGTGCGTTAGGATACCTCGAACTTCCTGCAGGTGATGAATCGCTTGAACATCAGTCAGGTGCCGGTTTCGCAAAATTATCAAACTTATGATTTTTCCTTCTCGAAGGAATATCTAGATGACCTATTATACCTCTAGATCTCTAGAGATGACCTATTACCCCACCTTCGAGAAGGAAAAATCATAAGTTAAACTCACTAATTTCGTGGTCCGTTTGACCAATTAATTTATTACAATTAATTAAGGTTTTTAGTTGAGATAAAAAAGTCAATGGCACGAACGGGATTCGAACCCACGATCTTCGGCTTGATACGCCGCTGCTCTACCACTTGAGCTCGATCCACTCGGACACCAACTTCCTATCTCAACCCCACCTTTTGAGTTTTCCTTCCTTTTTGGGTTCGAATCCCGCTCGTGCCATTGACTTTTTTATCTCAACTAAAAACCTTAATTAATAAGTTAAACTGTTGAGGTCGAAATATAAGAAAATTATCAAAGTCAAAAAACGGTCACCCTGTGGTCCTGTTACCCTAGGGCGTTCACAACCGTGCCTTCTATGGTAGGACCCAGTTTCTCAAAAACAGTCTAACGGCATCTCCCAGAGTTTCATAGGGAACTCCGATGGTTGGAATGGAACGTCCATCATCAATGAGTGCTACATCACGCGCTACATCCTCAGCACTAAGTGGCACTTTTAAGTCTCAAAATTGAAATTAAAACAAAGGTGAAAAATAAACAGATTATTGCTTCAGAATTCAAATGAGACTGAATATACATTTTAAATTCCGTAACAATTAAAGGTTGAAAAATACTTTATACTTGTTTTGGATTAAGGATTAAGGATTAAGTGTGTTTACCTCTAACTGATATTCCCAATTGAAAACATAGCAAAAACAAATATTTATTAATAAAAACAATGAGACAAATTAAGCGCAATTTTAACGAGAAAATGAAAAACAATATCAGTTGGGTGGAACTTTTGCCTGTCAGTGTACTTCAAAACTTTTCTTTTTTGATTTTGATATTATATTATAAATATATATATATATATATAAGATATATATATAAGATCGATAGAAAGAGAGAGCGGGGGAGAGAGTATGTGAGAAAGAGAGAATGTGATCTTGAAATGTAGGTAAGAAATGTGAGAACTATACCGATAGAATGCATATTCAAAACAGTTTGAAAGTATGTATACAATAATAAAAAAAGAGATAAAATAATCTTTTCAAGTTCTAAATTTAAAAAAAGGTGCATAGGAGAAATAAGAAACAAACTGCAGTTATAATACAACGTGTTTATAATACATTTTTTACAACTTTAATGTGAAATACTAAACATCAGCATCTGTACATCAAGTCAACTTTTATTTTTACAAGTGCGTTCTGTACATTTTGTGGTTTTGATAATTTTCCATAGTTTGCTCTAAACAATTGGAAATTGCATGAATATGTGCATACAATTCAAGAAATAATGATAATTCAACAGTTCATCTCTTGCGATAAGTTTAACGAATTAAATCTGCAAGAAATCTATTCTTATCTTGACGTTTTAGTCATTCTACATCTAATTAGCAAGCTAATTAGAGAGATGAACAATTGGAGAAATATCAAACAGGCTAAATTTCTCTTAATTCTAATTACATGTTAATTTTGATTAAAAAATTTCCTTTTGGTTTTGCGATTGAAAACCCGACTACACATCCTTTTCTATGCTTGAAATTTATCGTTATAATACGATTTTATTTATTGACGTTAATTACAGCGTGGTTTAGGCAACCCCATGCCCATCTGTCTAAAAATCAATCTGCTAAAATACCTCGCGATAAAAATTACAACTCTGAAAGTGAAACCGTTTATTTATCAACCTTACATCCGTGGATGTTCCCGTATGTCGGTTGATTTACGGGCTTACAGGTGGGCTAATGTGAAATCTCGGGACGTGAAAGGTCGCGGACTTACGTGGCCGGATACCTCATTTTTTTCTATGTGACGAGGTATCGCGATTAACTATTATTCAAATATTTAATTTAACGGATTTTGTACAAATAATACAAACTAATTTGTAATACCATGCTTGTAATATATTAGGATGCTCTTTTTCCGACATACTGGCCTTTACTTTGCAATTTTTTAATTTGCAGTTCACTAGTTTTGTGGTCCGCTTGACCAATTAAAATCTTTCAATTAATTAAGGTTTTTAGTTGAGATAAAAAATTCGGTGTCACGAACGGGATTCGAACCCACGATCTTCGGCTAGATACGCCGCTGCTCTACCACTTGAGCTATTGTGACTTCAATCCACTCGGAACTAACATCCATCTCAACCTCACTTTTTTATCTCAACTAAAAACCTTAATTAATTGAAAGATTTTAATTTGAAGCTTCTTCAACAGAGAAATCGATGTATTAAGAAAGATTCTGAAATTATTTAATAACATCAAATAAATAATTGTGCGAATAAGAGTTACATGCAATTTAAAATGAAAAACCACAAACAAATCACTATGAAAGAAAAGGACATTATTTGATTTTTAGTTGTACTCATATAAATTTAAATTCTTAAATCTATACTAAATACGAATTAACAATGTTGAAGGAGAATCCCAGAAACGTTTAAACCGCCTGTCGTTACCTATGGTGCTATCAAATAACCGGGGGGTCGTAGAGGAGCCTGTTGATATTGTCTTTCACCTGCAACATAAAAACAATAGTTTAAAAAATTGATTATCTTCAATTCATATTTTTTCAACCTTTTATCGGCAGGCTTTCCTGGTAGATTAAACGAAAATTGTACCTTTAAAAAACTGGAAGGATCAGAAAGTTTGTTTTGTTGAATTCTCTGGGGTAGTAAGGAACAAAATGGTTTTTAGATTTAAAAAAAGATCATCTGTTATCCCAAAATTACTGAAATCTGGCGTTCCCTCTAGCCATATTTTAATATAAAATCAAAAAATTACTACAAGCTAAAAACTGCATTAAACATCACATGGATCGTGTACAAATCATCAATTTACAAACCAAAGTCTTGTTTGTTGATCAATAAATTCAACTAATAAAGGTTTTTAGTTGAGTTAAAAAGTCAGTGTCACGAGCGGGATTCGAACCCACGATCTTCGGCTTGATACGCCGCTGCTCTACTACTTGAGCTATCGTGACTTCGATCCACTCGGACACTAACTTCCCATCTCAACCCCACCTTTTGAATTTTCCCTCCTTTTTTGCCAAATATCGTGAAATATATTTGATTCTCGGCGACAAATGAAATAGCCAGGGAGAGCTTTAGTGAAGATATACTTCATTTTTACTTATTAAATTCGCTAGTTTTCGTGGTCCGCTTGACCAATTAATATCTTTCAATTAATTAAGGTTTTTAATTGAGATAAAAAAGTGGGGTTGAGATGGGAAGTGTCCGAGTGGATCGAAGTCACGCTAGCTCAAGTGGTAGAGCAGCGGCGTATCTAGCCGAAGATCGTGGGTTCGAATCCCGCTCGTGACACTGATTTTGTTATCTCAACTAAAAACCTTAAATAATTGAAAGATATTAATTAGTCAAGCGGACGTCGAAAACTAGTGAAATTCAGCTATTAGACAATAATCTAATATTAAAAACAATCAACTTTTTTTTATATCAAAGTCCTAAAGTATGGCTGTTTGCTGTACACTTTAAAAGAAATGAAAGGTAATGTTTGCTACGATGATTTGAGTCACGAACTATTTATGAACAGCGTACACTTGTGGCGCAGAGGTTTGCATATCTAACAATCTACCTAAGTGATGTTCGCTAAAATGGAAAGTGTCAAGTTGTACATGACTAGCCGGATTACAAACCAAAGTGATGTTTATGCTTTGATGAAATGTGCCGAGTTGTGATATTTATGTATATCGCCTTCTTGAATTAACAAAGGTTTAAAGAATAGACACACCCAAAAAAATGTTTGTTTTTGAGAGTGAACAAAAACAGAGAGTTAGAAGGTTAGAGAAAATTGAAAGTGGGAGTGAGAGAGAGAAAGAGAAAGAGGGCGAGGGTGGTAGAGAGGCAGAAGGGAGAAAGAGAGGAGTAGATGAGTGTGAGTGAGAAAGAAAGGGAGAAAGAGAAAAAAGAAGAATAGGAATGAAGATTGATAAACATTAGTAGATGTATGATTTCTACATTAAAAATTAATAGATAAACAGAAATAGATATATACAATGTCCAGGAAGCTAGGATTGCGCAAACCTACAAGGAGACAAACAGATATATGTCACAAAAAGAACAATTTTGAGAAATGGATTCAAAATGGTTTAGGATTAGTTGGATCATCTATTGACCATATTACAAGGGACGAAAGGAAAATAAGGGAGATAATTTTGCCAAAATGTACCGCATAAATATCAACAATTATTCAGAAATCGTGAGATGCAGTCTGGTGTGATGTAGGTTTCAGAAAAACATTTTCTTTATCGTGCCAACGTTTCGATGTTTATTGAGATCATCTTCAGGGCTCAAAGTGTTTGTCTTCTGTGTAATTGTGTAATTTTGTGTCGTGTTGAAAGTGACACACAACAATGGCACAATTACACAGAAGACAACACTTTGAGCCCTGAAGATGATCTCAATAAAGACCGAAACGTTGGCACGGTAAAGAAAATGTTTTTCTGAAACCTAAATTATCGATTAACGGTCACTAATCACCACACATAAATATCAACTTATTCTTGACGTTGTCCTGTCACGTGTGCAGGATCTCTCTATGAATTGTTCTAGTCAGTTTTGCACAATTGCTAAAATGACAATCGATTAAGTTTTACAAGTAAACAAATCTTCATCCTATCTAATAGTGAACCTGAAATTAAATTAAATCCATTGATAAATTTGTGGTCGGGTTGTTTCCTATCATTTTGGTCTGACTATTTTTGATGTTTTGGTCTATCAGGCGCTTGGTTAGCTTTGTCGAAAATGAAAACATCATGGGAAAGGTCATCATTCATGGTTTTGCAGCAGTTGGGTAGTAGTGCACAAAGGACCATCTAGAAATTTTGGAGGTGTTCACATATTTCATAAATAAACGTGCCTTTCGCATTGTTTTCTTGTAAAAAATCATTTAACAGAGAAAAACATTCAACCGATTCCATCTCAACAGAATCAATCCAAAACTGGATTTTTCTTTTGAAGGCTTGAACTCTGCCATTAGCATCGGAGGCCGATTTGACATTGTGGCCCATCAACAAGATAAGACTTCAAAACGTAATTCCTATAATCGAGAAAATGCTTTTCCAATTTTCTCTGTATGGAGAAGCAGGGAATGATGAAGGCTTCTAATATCGTCACATAATATTGTGAAAACCCGCGACTAGATATAATTAATTATTTGAACAGACTCATCCAACACTTTCTTAAAGGAGGCTGGCAATCCTTCGATTTATGTTTTTTCTTATTAATTACTCCGATCGTTTGGCCAGTCATTGATTTTACACCATCTGTGTACACGTCAATGCAGACCAAGGAATTTCGTTGGTTGTAAACAAATCGTATCATCTGTTGGATTGGCAGGAAGTGGCTTGTACAAGAGAAGATCCTTAAGGATCAAAAGCCAATAAAATAGCCAACTCAACGATGTCAATAGATTTGGAGAGAAAAGCAACTGCTATCGGCTGCAAAGCAGGGATTAAGCATCCGTTTTCTGACGACGGCGGACATTATGTTGCAGCTGCTTGCCTTTGCGGCAAGGCGAGCTTAAAGGGTATCTTAACCACGTTAGTAAACTGAGACTACTGATTATCGATGAAGTTGGCTATTTACCTTTCGGTAAGGAAGAAGCAAACCTTTTCTTCCAAGAGGTAGCAAAGCGATACGAAGCGGGCACTGTGATCCTAATCAGCAATCTGCCTTTTACTCAATGGTCAAGCTCATTTGGTGACGATGAGACGCTGACAGCATCCATGCTGGATAGGTTGCTGCACCATGCCCATATTCCACAGATTAGCGGGCAAAGTCATCGGTTGAAATACAAGCTGAAAAGCGGTCAGCTACATAAAAAAATGAAAGCGCAAATCAGCGAGTAAATCTAAGGGGGTGGATCAGTTTTACTTTAGCAAAGTGGGTCAGAATTTAGTTGGTATTGTCAAAATAAGGAATAAATAATGAATTACTCTACCGAAAAAGTTCCCACTAACGGTTCAATATTAAAAGATATTGGTAAACTGAAAACTGCAATTTATGGATTACACCGAATAGCAACACTTAAGATGAACACATACTGGGTGTTTATATTGACATAATTAGGCTTGCACTAATTATCAGAGGGCTAGTTAGGGGGCCGCGGTAGCCGAGTGGTTAAGGCGTCAGACTCACCCGCGGTCCTGGGTTCGATCACCACCGTCGCCTCTGGACTTTTTCTGACGCCTAAGGGGACCGGTGACCGCAATTGAAAGAAATTGACACGGCACTCATCAATGGAAGGGGCGGGATCGGATCTCAGCGACCCTGAATTTGGTCCCAACCTCCTTCAAAAATGAGTTTCTTCGATGGAAGAACACCGGTACAACGGGGGCTCAAGTTCACATTTTGTGTTTTGTGTTGCGAGCCCTCCCCCAAAATATGGAGCCAGGGATAAAGGTATAAAGTACAAATGGCTGTACAGCTCAGCTGCAGTGCTCAGGAGGGAACTCCTCCAGTCCCTGGTATCCACTGTTTAAAAAAAAAAGATCAGAGAAAAGATCGCAGTTTCATTAAGAAAAATTGCTCATGGAGTTGAATACCTTAATAGAAATATTTAAGCAATCAACACCTTTATGGCTAACATATTGAGAAAATTAAGCACCCCACAACTTAGGGATTATTTCTTTAAATAGTAAGCCAAGAATACCAGCCAATAAAACCCTTTGGAAAGGTTGAATTTTTGTTCCAGTCTGTCAAAACGCTTTTCTGAAAAATCGAGTGGCTTATCTATCTGAGCAATATCCTTACGGACATCACAGATCTTAGCAGATAAGTTTTTGCGGACATCAGCAATTTGAGCTTCGTTATTTTCAAAGCGTACAATCATTTCCGCACGCAATTTAACTGGAACCGTTGAACTGCTTCGGACTTTAGCGCAAACCACACTTTGAGCTTTACCCTCGTCTGCCTCCGTAAATCCCAAATCTAAGTAGCTGTCGTGGTACTAACGCTTTTTAGATATTCCATTTTCGCTGGCTGTTGATCTGCACCTATTTGCGAGACTTGCAGAATTTAAGCATGTTGGATCTAGTATTAACAATGAAATTTTTAAGAAACCGTCCGTCTCACTTACCTTACTTATTTGGCTTATGTGTTCACACGTAGAATAAATAAGTAAAAATTAAAAAACATTCATTTTCAGTACCCGTTTTTATTAGTTTTTTTAAATTTTATTTATTCTACTTTATATTTGTAATTATTAATTTTTCTTGAAGTTCGCCGCAGACCCCTCAGTAAGGGTCGATGGACCCCCAAGAGATCCGCGGACCGCCGTTTGGGAAGCCCTGCTCTGTACTGCTCAGTACCAAGTGGAGAAAAAAAATCACACAATCGGAAACGACCAAACTACAGGTTCACCCCAAAAATCTTAACACGAAATATTATAATTGATGAGCTGCCGAGAATAATCACCGAGACTTGCCATTCAATACCGGAGAAATCGAAGTCAAAAAAACTCTTAAGTAAGACTTTGTGAGTGACACAAACGCTCTCTACATGAAAGAATAATGAACAAGTAAAAATTTCAAATGATGCTTGGTGATTTGATTGGTTTGACAAATCTTCCTCTCCGTACATGTCAAACACCTTTGACCCCTTTCTCATAATATTTTTTTATGCTGATGTGTTATGTAATGTTCATGAATGTTCACTTACAAGCTTTTCTAGTGCACTAATATGTTCATTGTGACCTGGTGCCGCCCACCTTGGTCTGCCGAGGAGCGCCGTGGCCAGGCCGCCCCCAGAACCGGCCCCAGGTCTCGAAGTGTTTCCTGCTCTCTCTTCGATCTTCTTCTTTCTCCGCCTGAAAAGAATTTTTTCCCCGATTAAAAAAAGTCTGGTTCGTTGGGTGGGGAGGTTCAAAAGGTCTGCCGAAAGTGTCCTCCGAAACTCGGAGATAATAGACTTTCTTCGGGGATAACTACGCTGACCGTGAGAAATTAGCCCATGGGTATCAAAACTTCAGGGGCTGGAACGTTCAAAGTGGATTTTTCATTTTTCGGCAAGTTATAATTTTACAAATACCCCTAATTTTCCCATAAAAAACAAAAGATATTGCGTGCACTTATTTTTAACGATTACCCCAAAAAATAAACAAACGAGTGATATTTCCCGGACATTATCAATGAACTAACTTTATGCTTAAGCACTTACTTTACATCACAAAACTTGACTATTTCATTTTCTAGACAGCTACACATTCGTTTAAGTAAATTTTGGTTTACTTGACTTTAAGTTTGAAGACTACCTTGTATATAAACAATTTGTTTAAAAATTGTCCGTTAAATTGTTGAAAAAACTTAATTAATTTACAGCCAGCAAACGAATTCTGTGCTTACCCTATATTCAGGTTTTACAAAAAAAATATGTTATAAGTTTTGTACAATTAATCACATTTTTTGCAGATGATTTTTTTTTAATTTGTCTTACAACTAGCTTCAAGGGGACGTCGGTGGCCGCAACGGTTTAGGCTTATCACTGTAAGGTAAAGGTCCCGGGTTCGAATCCCGCGGCCCTGCATTCGAACCCGACATACTTACAAATGGGCTTTTTTTCAAAACACAACACCGGCACCCCGAGGGTTGATAAAACCTCTCACTTTAGCAAACCCTCGTTAAAAAAAACTACCTTTAAGTAGGTAACATGTAACAATGAAAAAGGTAATATATACAAAATTACAATAATATATAATAATATATATATATAATAAACAATAATAATAATAAATACAAATTAAAAACAAGAGTGGAGAAAGTATCCATAGGTATTACTCCAATGATACTAAAATATTGTCTTTTTAATTGATCCTTGTGACATTATCACTTTCACAATCATCAGATGATCTGTAGTTAGTTCTATAATTTCAGATTTTGATTACTTTAGACTTTAGCGTTTCTTGACTACAATTTCTTTCTTTTTTCCGACCTCCGCTCGACAGATCTATAATAAATAAAGTTCATTTCCCTTGAGCTATAGTGAATCAAGTGGTTAGAGTAGCGGCGTATTGAGCCGAAGATCGTGGGTTCGAATCCCGCTAGTGACACTAACTTTTTCATCTCAACAAGATAAAAAAAATAATTAAGTAAAATTAGCAATTTGGTCAATTAGACCACTAAACATAAATGGGTTAATATTATTGAAAATCCATTATATTTAGTGGTCTATTGACCAAATTACTTCTTTCAATTAATTAATATTTTATGTAAGGTTTTCGGCTGAAACAAAAAATGGCAAAAAGGAGGGAAAATTCGGAAGGTTGTAGGTTGACATGGGGAATTGGTGTAAGAGTGGATCGAAGTCACGATAGCTCAAGTGGTTAGAGCAGCGGCGTATTGAGCCGAAGGTCGTGGGTTCGAATCCCGCTCGTGAGACTAACTTTTTCATCTCAACAACACCTTAGATAGAAAGAAAAATTAATTGAAATAATTAATATGATCAATTATGACCGCTAAACCTTACGGATTAATATAATGTAAATGATACACATGTGATTGTTTTTAGTAGATTAATTTAAAAATTATACAATAATTTACAATAACTTTAAATTGTGTTTGTATATCCTTACGTCGTTGAAGTCCAGTAGATGAACTGTAATGAAATTTTTTTTACACATTTTAATTTGTTACCATTTTTAATATTGTATAAGAATTTTATAATAACGCTTCTCTAGTTATATTTACCAATTATTATATTCTGGTCAGTTAATTGATTTTTTGTCAAAAATTATTAATTGGAGATCGTGAGGTGCGGTGTGGTGTGACGTAGGTTTTAGAAAAACATTTTGTTTATCGTGCCAACGTTTCGATCTTTATTGAGATCATCTTCAGGGACTAGGAATTAAAAAACATTGTTTGAATTTTACAAATACATGTAGGATGTGGAAAAATTTTTTTTTAATGATAAAAATAATTCTTCAAATAATCATAGGCTAACGGCTAACTAAACACTACACATTTTTTCTCAAAAGTCTTGCGCCTTACGTCTGTAGTATTTTCTTTTCTTTTGAGCTAAATCTGGCAAAGCCGTGATTGTGAATTTAAACGACACATTTGTGAGGAAATACTTACACATAGTAGGTAAATATGCAAGTCTCACAATCTCGAAACAATTTCGCACGCTTAGGCTTTAACTTTATATGTTTAAAGCGCCTCTCCCAGTAAGCCGTCAAGTTGAGAAAGTTTTGTGTGACAGGTTTCAAACTTTCGACACTTTATCCAAAACGGTCGGTAGCGTTGAACAAGATAATCTCCAATCTCATATCGAATTTGTTCAAATGGCCTTTTCTCCTCGAACCATTGGAAATCGTGGACTACACTAAGCCTCAAAGGCATTTATTCTCTGATAAATGTTTTTTTCTAAGGGAGAGTGCTTTAACAAATAAATCAAAAACGTTATCGCCGTAGTACAATTCATGCCGGCCGAAGAATCAAAGTGAAATCGAGCTCAGATTTAAAAAAAAAACTAGAACTAAATCGGAATATTTTGTTAGAATTTATCAATGATTAATAAATTGTTCAAATAAGCGGATTAGATGTAGGGGAATCATAATTTTGAATGAATTATTATTCCCTTTACCCTGTTATCAAAAGGTTTTATTCTACATAAATAATTGAACGTGGCCTATCAATTATGATCCATACCAACCTTCTTATTCTGTCGAAATCCGTTTAAAACTAATGGTAAACCAGGGGGATTGGATCACGGAAAGTCAGCTAGATGTTGCTATTGTCTGAACCGAACACGAACAGGGTCATGCAAACGAGAGGTACAAGTCACAACCAGGTTCCCATATTCTGCACAATCCAGCTTCCAACCTCTTAACCGTAGACACGCACACCACTTTATTTAAAGAATGGTAGCGATTTCTCGTTCCCCTTTCCACCATCATGACGACCTTTTTGAGTGCCAATAAAGATTTTCCTATTGATATGCTTGTAAATTGAAAAAATAATAATAATCACAAAACGAAGCTCTTCAAACGTTTTATGTATAGTTTATACCAAAATTAGATTCAATATATGCATTTTCGTATCCTTAACTATCAAGAATTGATACAAAAATTAAATCACTTCAAATTTTATTTAAACAAATTAGCTGGACATTTTTAAATTTCAAGTCATACTGTCCCTTCCAAGCACAAAATAATGGTGCAGCGTTGAGAACGTGACGCACACTCTTAAACACAAGCTGACTAGTGTTTTCTGGCGTGCATGGTCGCCTTAAGCAGCCTCTGCATGAATTTGGACGATAGGACCAAGGAAGCGTATAGCGTGCGAGGATGCTAGACCACGCCTACCTAGTCCCTCGAGATGCATTAAGGGAGTTGCTCGCTTGAGAGCTGGCCGCGGATGGCGGGTGCTGCATCAGAGGCACACACCAGTTAGGGTACCAGATCCTGTGTACATATATTTATATATACGGACGGGAGAGGGTGCATAACCATCTGAACCATGGTAAGGACTCGGAGTAGCCTAGTGGTGAGACCCCTAGCGGGTACCTGGGAAGAGGTTGTGTTTCATTCGTGGCCATGGACCAGAACTCGTATGACCTCCGAATAACCTCTCGACCTCGCGGGAATCGCAGCGTCCAGCCAACGAGGAGGCTAAGACTACGCTGATGGAGTCCCCCGAATGCGTGAGGAATGGTGGACGGGGGCGGATGTTTTTCGGTGGTGGCCGTCTGGGCAGCCTTTACAGAAGGCATGGTCTCCTCTAGGGGGTAGTTAGAGATTTCACTAAAATCGAAACCGCGGCCGGAGAGCATCAAGAGGTTTCGGCGCTGGCGGAGCTCCTACACCTAGGGAGATAGAGCTGTCTTCTCTATCTAGGGAGTGCGTGGGAGAGTTGGTCGATGCATTTCGACCCTTTTGGGTACCCCTTTACGCGCGGCACACGGTTGAGTGCAAATTGTTAACCCACCCTCTCGGAAGGGGCAAGCGGGAGAAGTCGACATGACGGCAGCATGTGCAGGATGATGTGAGCTTCTACACCGAACCTCAAGGAGTTAAACAAGGAAGAAACAGATTTTCCGTGCGCGGAGATGAGTCGCTCGTAACTTGAGAATCTAAACGTGTGATAAGGCCTATGTGCCAGGTACGCACGTTAAAGAACCTCAATGTTAACAGACATGGATTTAAATGGTTCTCAGTCCCCTAACTTTTGATGGATTTTTAACGAACACTGTTAGATGATGTTCTTCTGCAACAACGACAATGTATGATTCTCCAGCTTGATGGATGCCTCGCACACAATTCTTTGCAGGTGAGATTTTATTTGAATCAGGATAGGTGGATAGGACCTCATGGCCCGATCTCTTGGCCTCCTCGGTCAACCCATTCAACTCCACTTGACTATTTTTTGTGGGGCCATTTAAAAAACAGTGTCTATGCCAATCATAACCAGCAACCTTAGCTGAAGAACTGCGGCAAAGGATAAAAAATGCTCGTCAATCCATCTCCCCTAACTCCATCGCTCTGAGCACCGGTGAAGAGTGGATAAAAAGAGCAAATCTTTGCATCTTTACGCAAGGCAGGCAGTTCGAACATCAATTGCGATTAATAAATAACCACCCAAATGACTTTGAACTTTTAAAATCCGATTGCACCATTGTTTTCACCGGAAAAAATCTTTTAAAATGCTGTGTGAGGGGTGTATGTACTGGGTCGTATTTGAAATTTTGAAGTCGAACTGAGCCTGGGTACCCTGTACATTTTTTCTCAAAAAAAAGTTAAAAATTTGAAACGACTAAAAATATTAAAGTCGTATTCTTTTTGGTCTATTGTTAAAAAAAAATTTATGGTAAGTA